ACAAAAAAAAAAATCAACTCTTTATGTTATTAATAACCCCACGCCAGAAATAAAAGGAAGTGAATGATTGATTACAATGAATAGTGTGACGGACTTGGAAGTTTTGACAAAGCTAAGCTTGCATACTGCATATTGAGTGTTATATAATTTGGTGGCCGTGGCCTTCCGCCCTCGGCCCCCGCCGATCCAGATCGAGTCATGACTCATGACTGTTAAACATTAAAATAAAAACCACTGTACTGTAAAAGCACTTTAACGACTTTCCAACTCCAGAAATTGAAATTGTAGCAACGAATCCTATTATATATTTCTGCCGTCGGTACAAAGTTCCCTTTTATCTTTTCCTCGCGAATCTGAAAACAAAGAGAAAAAGATTTCACTTTTGGACAACATTTTATATTCTTGGCTTTTAGGAAAATAAAGTAAAATTGCCGGAAAAATAGGAGCTTTCCACATGGGTCGTCTCGTCTCGTCTTCAAATGATTCCTATCCTATTCCTAGCCAATTAATTTAAAGCTCCCAACGGAACATCGCATTTAAATGCAGGAAATGGAGATTGCAACAGGAGGAAAGGAAAAACACGATGCGGGTGGGAGTAACAAGGATTTATGGGAATTACAGATGGGAAAACTAATCCATATTCCCTAAAATTAATTCCAATCACCCGAATAATATAGTTTGGTAGCTGCTTGGTCCTACTTTTCTTAAGCTTCCTCACCAGTCACCCTTTTACGTACGGATGGATCGACTGTTTTTAAGCTTTCTGGTATCTATCTTTCTTATAATAATTCCGCTCTAGGACTCTGGACCGTGTACCCAACTCAAATTAGATCATTCATTAGTCACTGGCCTCAAAATTCACACGCAGCTAAGAAAAGCTTTTGTCTTGATTTAAAAATGGTAAAATCAAAATGAAAGAGCAGAGAAAACTCAGAGAGGAAAAGCGCGGACAACCATGTGAAGAGTAGCAGCAGTTGTCGGGCTAACTACCTCCAACTCCGACC